TAAAAAAATATGTATTTATATATTTATTATATTTGTTTACTTTTAAAAAAAATTTTTTTTTTTAAGTTTTAGTATCTGAATACTAGGAGTTCATATTGTTAACGTGCAATCTTTTTAGATTACAACTGTTAGACTTGATATTAGAGGGTTGACTCTTTTATAATCTACGTAATAATTTCAGTTAATTTACAATAATTTTAGCTAATTCGCTACTAATTTATCAAGTTAAATCAAGTTTATTAAACGTGAATGACTTTAATTATAAGTTAAGAGTTATCATGGTAAGTTAAGAAGAGTTTTAGATAATAAAATAAAAATACTTTATTTAAGAAAAAGGAAATAATAAGATAAAAATATATGAAAGAAATAAGAAAAGAGAAATAAGAAATAGAGATACACAAGGTGAAGAGTAGCGTTGCGCTATCTTTTACAATAAAAAGGTTCTATACAGCCGTCAGTCTTGTCTCTTCTAATTGAAAAAGGGTTGTATTTATATCTATTCTATTACATATTAGCTATATTAAACATGTTAGACATGTTAAATATGTTTGACATTATCGACATTTGTACTTCGTCACACAATTGTAGATCCATGATCGTCAAGATCGACAATAGTTTTAATCAAACCACAATGATGTAAGTATTTTTATAACCATTTCCATCTACTTAAAATGGAAAAACATCAGTCCAAATTCCAGTATTTAATGAAGGGAAAAAAAGTAGCATAATTAATATTAAAAGGTTATAAATATTGAATATTTCTTTGCATTTGAACATTCTGACATTTTTTATTTGCTAAATCAATGGTTAACTTGCATAACGCCACATGATGTCATAGGATATAAAGATTGGAGATAATATATTTTATTTATTTATTTATCATATTTTTAATGAATATTTGATATTTATCACGAGTTTTTTGATTTACGGCTGTAGCTATAATTTCCACACCGCCAAAAACTAAAGTAAATACTATGATTACATCTTCAAGATTTTCATTTTCTGGCAATTTCATCACCAATTCACTAAGCAAGGTCACACCATCATCATTGCAATATTTTACGTTCGTTTTTTTTGTAGTGTATATTTTAAAACTTATCTCTCGTTGTAATAATGAAAAAGGTCGAAATTTTTTAATTACCTTGTTATTTATAGCTACATTTTTATCACGTTTTGCAAGTGTTTCGAAGGCTACAACATATCCATTTGGTGAATACGGATCTGTTGGTTGCCATTTTCGTACTACATCAGTGCCTAACAAAAAAA